GTTTATGTGGCTGGCACCTTAGCCACTTGAGCCACAGGCACCAAGACTATTTATTTATTTATTTTGAGACAGAGTCTTACTTTGTCACCCTCAGTAGTATGCTGTGGCGTCATTGCTCTCAGCAACCTCAAACTCTTGGGCTCAAGCGATTCTCTTGCTTCAGCCTCCCAAGTAGCTGGGATTATAGGTGACTCCCACAATGCCTGGCTAACCTCTATAGATATTTTTTAAATGATTTTTTTAAGAGACATATTCTCACTTTACTGCCTACGTTAAAGTGCCATAGCGTCACAGCTCACAGCAACCTCCAGCTCTTGGCTTAGGTGATTCTCTTGCCCCAGCCTCCTGAGTAGCTGGGACTACAGGTGCCCACCACAATGCCTGGCTATTTTTTTGTTGCAGTTTGGCCCGGGGCCAGGTTCAAACCTACCACCCTTGGTATATGGGGCCAGTGCCCTGCTCACTGAGCCACAGGTGCTGCCCTTAAAAATGAATTTTAAAAATAGTGCATTTCCCTGTTCAAAATTCTGCCACTCACAGGAAGAATCTCACATCCTTCACATGGCTTATACAATTTCTCTGGCCATTCCTGTCTTCATCTTTCTCTTTTTCCTCACTGTGCTCCAGTCACGTTGGGCTGCTTCCTAATTCTCAAACACATTTAGCTTTATCCTACCCCTGGGCCTTTACACATGACATTGCCTCTACCTGGGATATTCTTACCCTAGATCTTTGCATGACTGACTCCCTCTTAATATCCAGTCTCAGTCCTGAATGACATCTCCTTAAAGACCCTTTCCTTGAATTCTCTAGAAAAGTAGTACCCTCTCCCAATTCCCAACTTCCCCTGCTTTCTTTTCTTTTTTTCTTTTATTTTGAGACAGGTCATGCTGTCACCCTGGGTAGAGTGCTGTGGCGTCATCATAGCTCACAGCAACCTCAAACTCCTGGATTCCAGTGAGCCCCTTGCCCCATCCTCCCAAGTAGCTGGGACTACAGGCAGCCACCACAACACTCAGCTAGTTTTTCTTTTCTTTTTTTTTTTTTGTAGAGACAGATTTTCACTCTTGTTCAGGCTGGTCTTGAACTCCTGAGCTCAGGTGATCTACTCACCTCGGTCCCCCAGAGTGCTAGGATTTAGCACTAGGCCCCCTGCTTTATTTTCTTTGTAGCACAAGCCACTTCTGAATTATCTTATCTATTTGTGATTTTTTATCTGTATCTCCCCTGATTGATTATTAGCATCTTAAGAGCAGGGATTTTAGCAGCCTTGTTCACAGCTGTATCCCCAGCACTTATGATAGTGTTCATATAATGGATAATCAATAAATATTAATTGACTGACAACATGAATAAATGAATGACTAAATGAAAGAAATACAGCCCAGAGAGAGAGAGAGGATTCCTCCAGATCACTTTGCAGCTGCTGGTGCCCTCACAGCCCTAGCCTCTGCCTCTGTTTCATTTCCCCTCCTACATTTGTGCTTCTGTCCCTCGTTTTAGTTTCTGACTGTCAATCATTATGTCTCCCTCTCCAGCTACTGCAAAAGACTCTGGGAAGCCCCTCTATGGATGGTTGCAGCCCTCTGGGCCCACTCAGTGAGAGAACAAAGGAAGTCTCCAAATCTCTTGTCCAAAACCCACTAGATTTCTGCTCACTGCTTGGGGCATTGCCACTATTGTAAAAGGACACAAACTATTTCCTTCTGAAAAATGGCCTCTCCAGAGAAAGCCAACTCCTAGTGCTGGTGATGAAAGGGAAAAGAAGGGGTCCAAGAAAGTGCTGGTTCTTATTTGGCTGCCCCCTAGTTTCCCTTCCCCCATATAATCCTTTCCCTTTGAGCATAGGCTAATCTAGGTACTTGCCTCTACTTGAAGAAAATATGGCAAATGTGACAAGGAGGTCATTTCTGAAATTAGGTTAAAAAAGTCTCAGACTTCCATGTTGCTCATCTTTTCTTGCTCGACAGCTTGCTTTCTCCAAGGGTAGCCAGCTGCTATGATCTGGCCTATGGAGATACCTAAATGGAAAGGAACTAATATCTCCAGCCAACAGCAAGCAAGGACCAGAGGTCCTCAGTCAACAGCATGCTCAGAAGTGGATCTTCTGAAGCCTATAGACAACCACATGAGTGAGCTTGGAAACAGATGGTTTTCACAATGAGCCTTGAGATGGCTATAGCTCCAGCTGATACTGATTGCAGCCTTGTGTGAGACTGAGCCAGAGGTATCCTAAGTCTCCCTCAGATGGGATAATAAATGTCACTTAAGCCACTAAGTTTTGGAGTAATTTTTTTTTTTTAAGAGACAAAGTCTCAATTGTCCCCCAGGTTGGAGTTGGAGTGCAGTGGTGTGATCACAGCTCACTGCAGCCTTGAACTCCTGGGCTCAAGTGATCCTCCCACCTCAGCCTCCTGAATAGCTGGCACTACAGACATGTACCACCATACCTGGCTAATTAAAAGAATTTTTTTGAGAGATGGGATCTCACTATATTGCCCAGGCTGGTCTCAAACTTCTGCCCTCAAGCGATCTTCCTGTCTTGGCTTTCCAAAGCATTGGGATTACAACCATAAGCCATCGTGCCTTGCCATGGAGTAAATTGTTATGCAGCAACACATAATTAATATACCCAGGTATAGATTTCCAGAATATATTCAGCCATATGGAAAGTTTATACTATAATGGTAGCTATGTTTACAAATTTGGGGATTCACAGATATTAGCATTTACCCCTCCTCAAGAATCTACAATATATCCTCTCTTCCCACTCCTTTTATTCTGTTTATGTTTTTAAACAAACTTTTTTTTTTTTTTGAGGCAGAGCCTTAAGCTGTTGCCCTGGATAGAGTGCTGTGGCAACACAGCTCACAGCAACCTCCAAGTCCGGGGCTCAAGCGATTCTCCCGCCTCCACCTCCCTGGTAGTGGGACTACAGGCACCTACCACAATGCCCGGCTATTTTTTGGTTGTAGCCGTCATTGTTGTTTGGCGGGCCCAGGCTGGATTCAAACCCACCAGCTCTGGTGCATGTGGCTGGCGCCTTAGCCACTTGAGCCACAGGCGCCAAGCCTTTAAACAAACTTAATATCAAAATTCAGTGACAGTTACACATTACATTTTTTCTACTTAATATGTCACAAGTATCTTCTTACCTCATTAAATCATCTTCAAAGAATTCTTCAGCAGCTCTGCAAGAATCTATCATATGAGCACACAAATGTTAACTTCTTTACCCCCCCCCCTTATTTATTTTGAGCTAAAGGTTGAGTCTTAGCCTCTTGGGTCATGTTCATTGGCATGTGCCACTCTCCACTCAGGGCCTGTAGTGAGAGTCCAAAAAAGGCTAGGCGAGATGGCCTACATTTAAGAGGCTCCTCATTGTTGAACTGAGTCTATACGGTTTCCTGGCTATGTGACCTTGTACTTGTTACTTAACTCTTCTGGGCCTTGTTTTCCCCTTCTGAATAGTGGAGATGTTAAGCATACTAATTTAGCAGAGTTACTAGGGGTGTCATCAAGTTAATACAAGTAAAAAAGCAGTGCAGTGCCTGACATACTTTAGGGTTTATAGACATAAGCCGGGCTACACTATCCTTAATCACCCACACTGAGTCCTGTTCCCGTGCCTAATGTCCACTCCTGTCCAAACTCCAGTCCACCTTCAATCAGTGGTATTTTGACTCCATGAACCAGCTGGTGATCCTGGCTCTGTTGTCATCTACAATCCCTTAACCTGCCTTTGGTACATGACCTGGCATGATTAATTTAGTGCATCATCTTGGCTGGGCAATGATGCTCAGATGTGTGATCAAACATTATTCTGGATATTTTGTGAGTATGTTTTAAATGAGATCAACATTTCAATTGGTATATTCTGAGTAAAGCACATGGCCCTTCATAATGTAGGTGGGCTTCATCCAATCAGCCTGAACAGAATAGAAAGACAGACCTTCTGCCAAGCAAGAGTAAGTTCTGCAGCAGATGACCTTTGAACTTGAACTTCAACATCAGCTCTTTTCTGGTTCTCTGGCCTTCCACTCTGCAGATTTTAGGCTTGCTAGCCTCCATAATCATGTAAACCAATTTCTTAAATCTCTTCCCCCCCACCACATGTGGGTGCACACATGTGCACCTGTGTGCATGTACACACACATACATGCACAGACATCCTATTGGTTCTGTTTCTCTGGAGAACCCTTGGAATACCCTTGGAAGAGTCCATCCCATCTCTGGACAGATGAGTTTCCTCATCTGTAATATGGGAGGGATATTAGATTAGATGGTTCATGAGAGATTGCCCACCTTTAAGATTTGAAATATTCTCTCTTCTTTCAAAGACCCTTTAGTTTCAACAGTATAGGGTACAACCAGTGCTTTAAACAACTAAGTAGGCTAGGTGTGGTGGTTCATGACTGTAATCTCAGACCACTGGAAAGCTGAGATAGAAGGATTGTTTGAGACCAGGAGTTCAAGACCAGGCTGGGAAATGTAGTGAGACCCTGTTTCTAAAAAAAATAAATTAAAAAACTATCTGGGTGGCTCCGTGTCTGTGGCTCAAGCGGCTAAGGCGCTAGCCACATACACCTGAGCTGGCAGGTTGGAATCCAGCCCAGGCCCACCAAACAACAATGACAGCTGCAATCAAAAAATAGTTGGGCATTGTGGCGGGCACCTGTGGTCGCAGCTACTTGGGAAGCTGAAGCAAGAGAATCGCTTAAGCCCTGGAGTTGGAGGTTGCTGTAAGCAGTGATGCCACGGCTCTCTACCCATGGTGACAGCTTGAGGCTCTGTCTCAAAAAACGAACAAAAAAACTATCTAGGCACCTGTAGTATCAGCTACTCAAGAAGCTGAGGCAGGAAGATCCCTTGACCCCAGGAGTTCAAGGTTACAGTGAGCTATGATTGTGCCACTACACTCCAGCTTATCTGGAGTAAAAACAAAGACCTGGCTACGCCTAAGTAAAAACAAAAAGCAAACTGGGCAAACCAAAAAGGTCTGGAAAACACTTTATTTGCCACCACTTATGTGCCAAGACTTGTGTTCAGCACCCAGGAGTGTATTAAATACTAATAGTGTCTTGCTTTCCTGTGTATGAAAAGCTGAGTGAAGAGCTGAGGTTTCTCACCTCAGGTCCCCTTAGAATGCTCGGCCTGGAGTCTCAGTGAGAAACCCTCTTGGACCAAACACCACTGCTGAGATCCCATCTGGTCCTAGGCTCTGCTCTTTGGCTGCCATCAACCCAGTCCAAAGAGCAGAGGGAGCTGTGTAGGTGGGGCCCAGGGGTAAGGAGAGCCAGGGATGGGGTGCTGCCAGAGAAGACACAGGCCTCCCTGCTGCCGGGTGCAAGTCCTGCTGCTCTTCCCTCATTGTTCCGTCTTACTCTGGCGTGTGAGATTAATGGTTTTCCCACCATAGCCTTAGCGGCAGTGGGAGGCAGGAAAAATTTGGGAATAGCCTGGGGATCTGACCCTGCAGAACCTACCAGAAGCCTTAAATGGCTGTGAGTACACAGCCTGCAGAAATCCCAGAAGCATCTTTTCCACGACTCTCCCCAAATCCTACCCATAGGTTCAATTTCTTGGCACTGCAAACACTGCTTGGGGAAGAAAGAGGCTGCTTTAGGGCTTCTGCTTGGTCTCTGCCTGCCCAGGCTTGATCTCTGGACTGGCCTCCGCAAGGGCGGGGTTTCTAGGACTGCACTGGGGAGAGGCCACCTCTACTCCCAGCATGTAAATCTCCTCACACCAGCCCTCAGTTCCCAGGACTTCAGTTGCTGGGGCACCGAGAGGGAGGAGCAGACAATGGTGTTTCAGGTCCCAAGAAAGGCTGTGTGACTTTGGAGTTCTCTGGGTCTCTGTTTCCTTAACTGAAAAAAAGTGATAATCTCAATTTTGTACGGTGACTGTGAGGTTGAAATCAGTCGTGGCAGTGACACTGTCTGCCACAATAGCAGGCACTCAGGGACGGCTTCCTTTTCCACTGTTCAATCCAGCCCAGCTGCTCAGCCTCGAAGAGCAGCCTCTAGGAGCCATGAGGAAAATGCCAGTGTGCTGAGGCTCCTTCCAGAGCCCAAGGGAAGGGCCATCCCAGCTCCAGGGACCAGGTTAGAAGTGGACTTGAGCAGAGGAGAGCAGAGGGAAGGCCAGGAGAGGGTGGGGGCTGGAATCCACACCCAGTCCCTGCCAGTCTGCTTCAGAGAAAGCAAGCTTGTGCTCCCTGCTCTGCTGACCTGCAAGTCTCAGAGCACCTGAAGGGTTGCAGGGAGAGTACCCCAGCCTGCCCTCAATGGAGTGCTCCAGCTCGATGGGCTGTAGGGGGGCGGGTTGGACTGTGGGGCTGGGTAGGAGGGCACCGAGCTTAGAGAAAGACCCTGGTAGGCTGGAGCCAGTGGCAGTCAGGACAGGGGTGCAGGGCAATTGGGTAGGAGGTATAGTAACTGTAGCGGGGGACAGTGACAGCAAGGACATAGGGGATGTGAGGAGGCCAGGGGAACCAGGAGGCTGTGGACCTGGAGAGAGTTGCTGAGCTAGGGGAGAGCAGACTGGAGTCTGGAACAGGCCAGGCTGCTCCTGGCAGCCCTGTTGTCTCTGGGGGGTGAGGATGTTCGGCCTCTCTGCTTGGACCCAGCAGCTGGGGGACCCTGGAGCCAAGCAGGAGCGCTCATGCATATGCAGGGTCTGGCTCCACCAGGCCAGCTCCGCTTGCAGGGCCTGGATCTCCTTCCGCAGGGCGTGGTTTTGTTTTTCCAGGGATTCGTGTTGCTGCAGGTGAAGCAGATGGGCAGGGAGGGAGCTGTCAGCCAGCATAAGACACTTGGCATGGGCCTTGTTTCCCTTCAGGGTTCCTGACTTCAAGGGAAAGATCTCACTGCCATCTGAATGTCCAAGCTGGGGCTCTGTGGCCAGCCATTTACAACGATGCACTAAGTGTCCCCATTCCACCTCCTGCCGGGGCAGACTGCCTGCTCTCCATGCCCTCACTGGTGTCCTGAGCTGGACACCATTTCTCATCCAGGGTCTTCACCAGCCTCCAAACCACCCCATTCTCTTGCCCAGAGGAGCCATTCAGCAACTGTGTCATTAATTGTAGGTTAAAGCCCTTTAAGGGGCTTTTAGGAGTCAGGAGTCCAAACTCCCTGCCATGGGATCAGAGGCCTGCAGGTGACCCTGGCTCAGACCTCCAGTTTTCTCTCTCTTGCCTTCTTCCTGTCCTTCACCTAAACTCTGCTGCCTAACTATATTTCCTGTCTCCTTTGCCTGGATACTCTTCCATCCTCTCCCTGTGCTAATTCTGACATCTTTACATGGCAACTTGTCATCTGTCCTGGGCACTCGAGTTCGCCTAATGCCACTGCCAGACCTGCCAGTCCCCAGACTTGCCCACTGGGATACTGAGGGAGGATTCAGGGGATTGTTTTACAGGTTGACACCGTGAATGTGTTTGATTTGGCATCCCTGAATCAGCTGAGCACCAGGTTCTGAAAACCCACTGGGACAGTAATCAAAATGTTGCAGCTCTAAATAAGGATTCAGGACGACAACATTGGCAAATGCGGGATAAATTTTATTTCCATGCCTCAGATACTTTCTGGATCATCTATTTGTCTGTCTGGTTTCCCCATGAGACTATAAACCTTGTGGGTGGGGCTGAGAGTGTTTCACAGCTGTGTCTCCAGTGTCACATAGGAGACACTGGGAAACTCTGTAACAGGCATCTAGGGGAGGAATGAATAAACAAACATACAGGGTCTTGTAGGCACCATCCTGAGCACCATCCTGAACACCACCCTGAGTATCCCTCCTCTTGCCCCATCTGCAGGGTGCTTGCTGCTCCCCTGCACCTGTGCCAGGACCATTTCAATTACTCCCAGTGCATTTTCTTACCCTCATCCTCTGGAAAAACTCCTATTCATCTTCAAAACCAGCTCAGAGTTCATCTCCTCTTTATTTATGTATTTGAGACAGAGTCTCACTTTCTTGCCATCAGTAGAGTGCCATCGTGTCATAGCTCACAGCAACCTATGGTGCCTGCCACAATGCCCAACTATATTTAGAGACAGGGTCTTGCTCTGGCTCTGGCTGGTTTCAAACTCCTGAGCTCAAGCAATCCACCCATCTTGGCCTCCCAGAGTGCTAGGATTACAGGTGTGACCCACTGTGCCCAGGCTTCATCCCTTCTTTATATCACACAATATCACTATCCATGTTTTATGGACTGAATTGCATCCCCACCCAAAAATTCATATGCTGAAACAAGCCTTTAACCTCCAATGGGAATGTATTTACAGATAAGATGTCTAAGAGGTTTTCTGTTTGTTTGTTTGTTTGAGACAGAGTCTCACTTTGTCACCCAGGCTAGAGTGTCATGGCCTCAGCCTAGCTCACAGCAATGTTAAAACTCCTAGGCTCAAGCAATCCTCCTACCTCAGCCTCTGGAGTACCTGGGACTACAGGTGCCTGCTACCATACTTGGCTAATTTTTCTATTTTTAGTAGAGATGGGGTCTCCCTTTTGCACAGGCTGGGCTTGAACTCCTGACCTCAAGTAATCTCTTGCCTGGGCCTCCAGAGTACTAAGATTACAGGCATGAGCCACCACGCCTGGCCTTTTGGAAGTAATTTAGATTAAATGATGCCATAAGGGTGGAGTTCTAATCTAGTAAGAGTGATGTCCTTCTTCCTTTGAAGAAGAGGAAGGGAGAGAGATGGCTCTCTCCACACACATGCACTGAGGAAAGGCCTTGAGCACAAGGGAGAAGGTGCCACCCAGAAGCCAGGAAGAGAGCCCTCCCCAAGGAAGCAAATTGTCCTGGCACAGGTGCAGGGGAGCAGCAAGCACCCTGCAGATGGGGCAAGAGGGGGGATACTCAGGGTGGTGTTCAGGATGGTGCTCAGGATGGTGCCTACAAGACCCTGTATGTTTGTTTATTCATTCCTCCCCTAGATGCCTGTTTCAGAGTTTCCCAGTGTCTCCTATGTGACACTGGAGACACAGCTGTGAAACACTCTCAGCCCCACCCACAAGGATCTTGGATTTCCCCACCTTTAGAACTGTAAGAAATAAATGTCTGTTGTTTAACCAACCCAGTCCATGGTATTTTCAGATGAGAGTAAAGCTCAGCAAAGGAAGCAACTGGTGGCTGAGACTGGACACCCTGTCCATCTTAACACTGAACTTGGCTACCACCTGAACACTGACCCCAGGATGATTATGATAATGCAGGTTTCTGGGCCCTGCTTGGCCTCATGAGATGGGACCTTGTGAGGGAGGAAGAGCCTGCATTTTAGCAAGTGCCTCAGCTGGCTGCTGTGTTGGGTTCTCCCTATTTGCTTCCACTTCCCCTAGACTGGGGGTACCTTAAAGGCAGGGCTGGGCTGAGGATGCACCTTTGTGTCCCTGGGAGCCAGCTGTGTACCTGGCACATAGTTTGTACTCAACCCTCAGAAATTCTCAAATATCAGCCACAGGACCCTTTCCTCCTCCCAAACCCGGGAGACAGCAGTTTAGAGGAGAGCAGTTCATAAGCAGGATAGAGAACAGGTGGCTGGGCCAGACAAGTGGAATTAGGGACGAAAAAGGAGGGTGTCCTCACCTGGTGCAGGGCATCTGCCTTGTCCGTGTGCTTCTGTCGGCTGCACTGGGCGGCCATCCGGTTCTTCTGTTTCTTCTTCAGCTGCCTTTGATGCTCCTCAGGATCCTGAAGGGGACCAGGCAGAGGGTTGAGGGGTTTGCATCCTCTGTCCTGGCCAGTCATTTGTACAGCCAAGTCCTTCCCATTGTGTCAAGTCTCGTAGGGTCCTTGTTTTCCCTGAGGCTCGTCTTGCTCCCACATCCCCCATTATAGGCGTTGTATACTTTGTTATCCTGGCCTCACCCATGTAATCCTGCTCACAACTCACATGGGATTGTGTGGCTCAAAGGAGTAAGGCGCTAGCCCCATATGCCAGAGGTGGCAGGTTCAAACCCAGCCCCAGCC